TGCGGCCGAACTCAGACATTCAGGAACAAACTTTTTAGCTCTGCCCCGCAATTTTATCAACTAAATAGCTTAATTGCTCAAGAGCTACATTATCTTTCTCAACAAGGAGCTGGTAGCATCATTGTTTCTAAAGGAATTAAAGCCACAGCTTTACTGTTAATAGAGAAATGCAGCAAATCGGTGGTAATTCATACATACACAGCCTCTCTCTCTCTCTCTCTCTCTCTCTCTCTCTGTGTGTCATAAATGAACAGTTGAGGAATCACACTATTCTGAGAATAGACTTGAAGTGGAGATAGCTAAACTGCAAACTAAACGGTGTTTTCAGAAAGCAAGCGTGTTTATCCACAGTGGAGAGAGAGCGCGTGTGCACAGGGTTGCCAGGTTGACAAAGATAAGTAGCACGTTTAGCAGATATTTCCGTATTGCGCAAGTGTAAAGCTCTGTTTCGGGGATTACGTCTCTTTATATCAGGCAACCCCGTTGTGTTCCTCTGCGACCAGATTATTAACAGATGCTCTATTCATTCTTTTTTAGAAACCTCGCACTTTTCTACTCCATTTTAAACGTTGTAAAATTAAGAGTGGTCCACTGCTGCATACGTGCCACAGTATCGTCAAATCTCGGTGACGATACATCGTCGTATCGATATTTTGAACCCCGCACTAGTCTGTACAGTAGAAAAGCCTATGGGATGTCCCCACTTTTCACAAAAGCAAACCTGTGTGTGTGTGTGTGTGTGTGTATATGTGTGTATGTATATATTTATCAGTCTGGCGAGTAAACAAAAAAATTTACTAGCCAATGGCGATTCAATTGCCAAGGTGTTCGTAGAGGGCTGAATTGAAAGATTGTTTATAATTATTTTTGTTTGTAAAAAAAAAATATATTTTTAAAATTATAGTATGCAATTTAATTGTTATTGCTATTTTAAAGCTTGTTAATAAGTCAATAAGTATTTTGACAAACTTTTGTTTTTGTTGTCTTTTGTTAATACGAATATATGGGAAGATGGAGGTCTCGTGTTGTGTTCCCAAATTCACATTAAAGCGACTTCTGAAACACACAGCACATATATTTAATTAAATTGCATCCTTTGTGATTTTACAATCGCACTAAGCCATATTGCGATTTCGGTTTTATTATGATTAATCGTGCAGGCCTAATCTAAAATACAGTCTGTTTGTTTCTCTCAGGGCGAGGATGAGGCCATGTTTGTTGAGTACAGAAAACAGTTAAAGATGTTGCTGGACCGACTGGCTCAAGTCTCTCCTGAGCTTCTGCTGGAAGCTGTGCACAGAGTCTTCAACGCCACCATGCAGTAAGACACAAAACTGCTCAGCACACTGAGAAATATCACCGTTTTCCTTGTTCTTTTGAGATGAATTTGATGTAGTATATAGACGCGCTTTAGTGTTCAGCACTCGTTAACTCCACGAACCTGCAAAACAGGTTGTTCAGATGTCTTCACGGTTGAAACGGCACAACCCTGAGCTCATATTAAACACATTTAACCCTTTAGGTGCCAGGGTTTTTTTGGAAAAATGCTGGATTTTGACATCAAGATTTCAAAAGCTTGTGGCTTGAAAGGGCTTAAAGATAGAGATCTAATGTAAATTAGAAAAATGTTGGGCATGACTGAAAGTTTATGTGGGGTGTAAATATTCTCATCTAATTTGCATAGTATGACGTCATCAGGGGGCTGCCCTCCTGAATGTCATAATATTCAGGAAATAATAGATATTGAATTGATGTTTGAACCTATTTGTTTTTTTTTGTTTTTTTATCCTCATTCCAAATGATCAGAAAAGAGGAAACCGAGAGTCACTTCACCAACTTTACATGGTTTACTTTGAGGAAAAACTACTGTTAAATACACTGAAACTCAAAGATCTTCATGACAAACCGCCAAAATAAAAGCTCGGTTTAACATGACAGATCTTTATCACTGTTGTATCCTAAAATGTACTTCTCAAAGCAATATTTTTATTTTTAAGGAATACCACACAACAAGAATTTTTTCCATCAATTTTTTTTAATTCATACATGTCTTTTGCTCAGCATCTTATTTGACAAAAAACAAAAGTGCAATGTTTTGTTGTAAATTAATGACATTTTTCATTTGATTACATTTCAAAAGACTGATTAAATTAATTTCATTACATGATGCATTTGGATTAAATCAAAGTACAAAAATTAATTGGAAACCCAGAATTTAAGGGAAAAATACAATTGATTTCATTTTGTCCTATATTAAAAGGTAGCTAATCTGTCGAGTTTAATTGTGAACAAAAAAGTTGTTTACATTCATTTTCAAGGTCTAACAAACGTGGAAAGCATTTCCTTCCCCATTAAAGGTAAATGAATATCATGATAGATATCAATATCATATGATATGGGGGAAAAAATCACGTTAATATTTTTGGCCATATTGCCCAGCTCTAGATTGAATACAAATCGTGTTATAGGCACAAAGTAGCATGTACATCATGATGTTGTGTGTTTGTGTAGCTGGTCTCCTGTGGCGTGAGCGAGTATCAGCATTCCTCTGTGACTCTGGAGTTCTTCGAGACCGTCGTCCGTTATGATAAGTTTTTCCTGGTCGAGCCGCAGCACATTCCCAGTGTCTTGGTGAGTGTTTGAAGCCTGTGAGAAATGATGCAGTCAGATTTAGTTTGACCTGTAAAAGCTGAGTTTCAAGAGATTTTGTGTGTTTGGTTTAGATGGCGTTTTTAGATCATCGTGGCCTGAGGCACAGCAGTCCAAAGGTGCGCAGTCGAGTGGCTTACCTGTTCTCACGCTTCATCAAAACCCTGCAGTGAGTTACTCTACAGCTACATACATGCACACACACTGGGTGAAAGCGTCAATTTATAATATTTGCAATTAATCCTCACTTATCTTTATCTAACCCTTTTTCGTTATTTTTATACAGGGCTGTCAATCTATTTTAAAAATATACCGAAAATTTCAGACTGCGTTCTGTAAATAATCAACTAATAAATACAAATATAATTTGTAATCATAAATATATTTTCACACTGAATCTCCAAATTAATTTAGAAACAACAAAGACGGTCTATTTTGAATATTTGTTTAATTGCATCTTTTTAATAAGTACTATGAATGAATACTAATGCCTCTATTACATTTTATTTTCCAGTTTTTCAAATTCAATTTCTGAGAATTAATAATTATAACCATTCAACGTTACAGTACAATTGAAAGCCTAATTTTTAATGTTTATTAGACTGAAACCACAAGTTATCAACTGTTTCTATTCATTTATTAACAATTACGGAACATTAAAAATAAAAAAATATATATACTATTAATTAGAGTAATTTTTTTTATGACATAATTTTATGTTTCATGTGTTAAATTATTAATGAGCAAATATTAATCACAGAAATTGTTCATTTTTATTTTTTGTTCTGCAGTTGTTAATAAATTAATATAAAAAATCTGATAACTTGCAGTTTAGGTATATTAAAAATATTGACTTACAGTTTTTATTTATATTATATATATATATATATACACACTGTATATACCCACACACACACATACAATAGTTTTTATAGCTTGTTTTCACGATTCAATATCGATTATTTTGGATATATATCAGGTACAGTACATGACAAATTTTCTCAAGGAAAAATAATCTCTTAACTAATGCTGTAAAATATACACGAGTCAGTTGGTACTACATTACTATAATATTGAAGGTTAAAACTGACAGATTTTTTTAGGCTATACAACTGCTTAAATTACACTTAATGAAGTTTTTATAATAAAATAAGTTACAATTACATAATAATATTTCTAATTCGTTGAAGAACAGTGAAGAACAGTAAAAGTTCAAATGAGTATATTATATGGTGCATGTATTTAGCAAAATGCCCCTCACTACAGTTTAATTTTCTATCTGACTAATGAGATTATGGTCACCGAATATGTGTTTTTCTGAGGTAAATGTTACGTGACATTGTTTACAAGCCGATATATTGACGTCTTTGCGCGGCTGAAACACTTATCGAGCGATTACATGAGACAGGATACGGATTGTAAAGTTGTACTCTTTCTTTCAACTGACCTTCGGATGTGTAGTCATGTTTATTTTGTGCTATAACTAGTAATAAAGCGGAGGAGATGATCAGTTCACGTGCGCCTCGCATTGCCGCTTTTATTGAACCGAGGCGCGCCGCGCTACAGCGATTACTTCAGTCCACATTAAACAGCGCCAAAACTGCATTCATGAACATAATTTGAAATCTGAAACTTTGTTTCATATTAAAAGTACCAAAGCACAATGCTTATTGTGATTTATTGGATGGGAAGTGCCCTTCAATGTTCCATCCATTAACTGAAAACAGGCCAGACTAATCGATTCTTGGGATTTAAGAATCGATATCATTTCGTAAAAATGAGAACCAGCATAGACCAGCCGTTAACGATCTGCGTGACTTTGCCAAAAATATTTTGGTTGACCAAGCCTCTTCTGGTCGACTAACGATTAGTCGGCTATTAGGGAGCAGCCTTAATAATTACTGAATTTCTATGTTCGTTCATCCCTAGTAAATGTTACATTTATGCATTTAACAGACACTTTTAGAGTTCATTCATTCATTCATGCTCTTGTTTATTTGTGCAGTAAATACATGAATGCATTCATCGAGGACATACTCCGCAGAATACAGGACCTGTTAGAGCTCGCTCCCCCGGTAACCGCTCATAAAAATCATATGATGCAGCATGTAAATCTGCTCTAAACGTCTGCGTGATCACTCCTCTCTCTTCGTGTGTCCAGGAGAATGGGTTTCCGGCTCTGCTGAGCAGTGATGATCAGCTGTTCGTGTTTGAGGCGGCCGGTGTGCTGATCGTGAACGGAGAGAGTCCAGCCGAGCGAAAGCAGGCTCTGATGCGCAACCTCCTGGCGCCGCTGATGGAGGCGTTTCACATGCTGCTCGCAAAGCTGCCGCAGGAGGCCGATGAAGAGAGACAGGCAGTGCTGGCCGATTGTCTGAGTCACGCTGTGGGATTCGCCAGGTAAACACAACCCTGACAATGTGAAGATTAATTAGAGGTTGTGTTGAACTGACTTGAATCAAACTTATAAAGCAACAAGACACCATAGGAAAGTAGGGTTAATCACAGTGCATTGAGACAGTTGTATTGTACTTTATATAGTTTATTATGCAAATGCAACATCAATTAATGCACTAATTTGCATACATTTCCAGAAGTACAGAATACATACAGAAATATGAACACTGGATAAATCCAGGTTCAAATTTGTTTCATTTTGCTGACACGTTGGATTTTTTTTACAGAGGAAATTTTGGATTTCTCTTTTTTTAATCACTCCGTAAATCAGAAAAAACGGTCAACAACCATTAAAAAAAAAATTCAGAATATAGATAGGAAAAAACCTAAAGTTTGGAATATGTAAGTGCAGAGAAAAAACTCACAGCCTTTAAAGTTACGCATTGTTTCTAAAATCTACAGATGCAAATAGATGAAGTGCAATAAAATAAATGCATAACTGTGCATTTGAGATGTTTTCTTTCCATTAGTCTTAATGTTATGGACGCAAAAAATGACCAAAATCTTAAAATCGACCAGTTCTTCACACAGGGTTATTATAGTTAAATAGAATAAAATTAATGTTAAATGGTATAAAATAAATGTAAACTTAAATAAAATATTTTAAAATATATATATATATTTATTTATTTATTTATTCAGCTAATTTCCAAGGCAACATTTCTAATTTTCATTCAGTTTTACTTGATTTATTAAAATAACTAAAACCTGAAACTGGAATAAAAATTAATAAAATACTACATAGACATTTAAAAATGACAAAAACACACAATGAAATTACTTCAAAAAAACAAAAATAAAACCTTTAGCTAAAATTGACATAAGCAGAATATATAAAAATAAAATAAAAATGGTATATCGATAGACAACACTGGCCTGAAAAAACGATGGTGTCTTGCCTGCTATCCGCTCTCAAACTCACAAGTCATGACATGAGTGGGCACAACTTAAAGGTGACATATCATGAGAATCTGACTTTTCCAGGTTGTAAGTGCTATAATCAGGTCCCCGGTGCATCTATCAACCAAGGAAACCTGAAAAAGATTAACCCAGTAGCTTAGTTTTGAGAAGCCTTTTTCTGCAAGCGTCTGAGAAAACCAGCGCGTCTGATTTCGCTCTCTTGGTGACGTGACAAAGGGATCTCATTATAATATCACCGCCCCTTAATCTGTAAGTTTACACCCACAGTGCCGTTATTGTGTTTTCGCAAGCGACAACGGTGTAGCAGCTCTAATGTCATGGAGAAAGTTTGAGCGAAGCATGCTAACTGTTCTGTGTTTGGCTGCACAGACGAGCACAGAACACTGTTTAGAGTCCCAGCCTCAGAGGAGACGACAGCAGTGCATTTATTGATGTATTTACTGTATATTGCTGCTGCCACACAGATCTAAAATAAACATGCGATTTATTTCCCAGCAGTTTACCTTCACAGACATAACCCACTGTTTTTGTAACTCGTGTGTTTTTAACGTAAACTTGTGTGTGAATGAGAGCTTAGTTTAGTACTCGCATGCTGCGACAGCCGCTTTCTGTGCGTGTGCTTCAGATGTGTGCGCTCAGAAAACCCTATATCAGAAGTTTAAACTCATATGGTTTAAAACGCATGATTTCAGCACGATAAACATGATAATCAGAACCAAAACAGATGTTTTTTTTAGCAGATACAAGCTGTAATGGCGCAGCGCTATTCTTGAAAAGGGGGCGAGGAGCAGCAGCTTCCACTCAAAATAGGCATTTTCAAAATTAGATAATGAACCGTGGAGGATTTTGAGCTGAAACCTCAGACACATTCTGGGGACACCAGTGACTTATATTACATATTGTAAAAAGGGGCATAATATGTCTCCTTTAAGAAATCTTAACCAAATAAAGAGCCAATTGCTTGGTGATTTGTTCCTCTTTCTCAGTCGCACCAGTAAGGCGTTTAGTAACAAGCAGACGGTGAAGCAGTGCGGCTGCTCTGAAGTGTATCTGGACTGCCTGCAGACCTTCCTTCCGGCACTCAGCTGTCCCGTCCAGAGAGGGCCTCTGCGCAGCGCCGTGCGCTCCTTCCTCCACCGCATGATCATCTGTCTGGAGGAAGAGGTGCTGCCCTTCATTCCAGCTGCGTCGCAGCACATGCTGAAGGACTGCGAGCCCAGAGACCTGCAGGAGTTCATCCCACTCATCAGTCAGATCACTGCCAAGTTTAAGGTTAGCAGAGGGCTGCACAATTAATCAGAATTTTTCAATTCAAGTTTATTTGTATAGCGCTTTTCACGATACAAATCGTTGCAAAGCAACTTTACAGCAAATTAAGTTTCTACAATATTTAGTAGTAGCTTATCAGTGGTGACTGTTAATAAACGTATGGCAGAAATGTACGGAAAAATCAATTAAAGATGTAAGCAAACAGACGATGAACACTATTAACAGCAGTTATAATATGATGCAATCAAACTTATGCATAACAGTGGAAACTAATCCCGTATTTTCTAATAATATTACCAAGGAGCAACATGTATATTGAAAATAGCAGAGGACCTAGGACAGATCCTTGTGGCACTCCATATTTTACTGGTGATAATTGAGATGATGACTCCTTTAAATGAACAATGTGGTAACGATCGGACAGGTAGGTTCTAAACCATCTTAAAGCTTGCCCTTAAATACCTGTATAGTTTTGTAATCGATCTATGAGTATGTCATGATCTATAGTGTCGAACGCAGCACTAAGATCAAGTAAAACTAGCAATGAGATACAGCCTTGGTCTGACGCAAGAAGCAAGTCATTTGTAATTTTAACAAATTCAGTTTCTGTGCTATGGTGGGGCCTGAAGCCTGACTTCATTCATAGAATGTATTATTATTGTTGTTGTTAATTTATATCCATATTGATACACAGTCACAAACTTCTGACCAAATTGTACAGCCCTACAAACAAGTAGCAAACCTAGATTTTTTTTCCAATTTTTATCAGAAAAATCTAATTTTTTTTTTTTCCAAATTGCACAGCCTATGTTAGTGCTACAGGATGGTTTGCATTTATACATTTAGCAGTGACATATAATGCATTCATATTAATGAAATATAACTCATGCATTGACAGTAGAAAGACTAATAATAATAATTCCTATGCACTCTCTCTTTCTCTCCCAGAACCAGGTGTCTCCTTTCCTCCAGGAGATCTTCATGCCTCTAGTGATGGCCATATTCGAGGTGTTGTCTCGTCCAGCAGAGGAGAACGACCAGACGGCTGCGTTAGAGAAGCAGATGTTGAGAAGAAGCTACTTCAGTTTCGTTCAGACCATCGCCAGCAGCGGCATGAACGAGGTCATGGCCAGTCAGGGTGAGGCGCTGTCCTGTTCAGAAAGAAAGCACACATTTGTGTCTGAAAATGTGAACTGACTTAATCTTGCTGTTTGGCAGGAGCTGAAAATATCGAGCGTGTGCTGTTCACCATCATCCAGGGAGCCGTGGATTTCCCAGACCCTGTCGCCCAGAAAACCTGCTTCATTATCCTGTCCAGACTGGTGGAACTCTGGGGTACGAAAACACTTCAAGCACAGCAGATTCAGCAGCATCTAGACATTTAATATGGGTTATAATCATTAACTAAAACTATTTACAAATATTTCTGTTAATTGAAATCAAGCTGAAATTAAATGCAACTGCATGCCATATTTTTATATGAAAATAAACAAGCTGAAAACACTAACTAAAAAACTTTTAGTGCTTTTCTATAGTATTAAACCTCAAATGTCAACTATACATCGGATTGGTTTCTTTAAATAAAAAGGTAAAAATATGCATGGTATTATAATGTTATACTAAAATTAAAACAATAGAAAAATCCTTAAGATAACATGTAGAAAGAAAAAAAGCATCTTAAGCGTGCAGAATAACATAAGTGGATTTTGAACGATTAATTGCTGCTTTTAACTATTATTGTGGCATCCTTAATTGTAATAGCGATTAGAAATTTGATTAATTGTGCAACCCTAATTATAAGTGAAAAATTAAATCAAAACTTAAAAATTACAAATTAAACATAGTTAAAACTAAAAATTAGAATATATGCGAATTCAAAATATTAATAATAACTATAATAGTATATAAATAATACTAAAGTAACACTGCTTATAACATGTTATGCTTCTGGACTTTTAATAAGGGTTGTTATTAAAGCTATTAAAATATTTTAGTTAATTGAAATAAAGCTGAAAAAACATAAAATATAAATATTAGATATAAAGTTAAACTAAACTGGCAACTAACTGAAATTAATTAGATGTAAAATCACTAACCGGATATAAAACTTAATTTTAAGTTAAACATAAATAATCTTAAAACAAAAGCACAATTGTTAAAAATGTAATTGAAAATGGAAAAGTAAAAAGCTGATTCAAAATGTTAATAAAAACAATAATAAATTAACACAGCTTTTAACATGTTATGCTTCAGGCAGAATCTAGACTTTTATTATGGGTTGTAATTAAATAAAACTATTATAAATATTTTTGTTAATTGAAATAAAGCTGAAATACAATACAATATAAATATTAGGTGAAAACCTAAACTAAACAAATTAGAAAAGTTGCTTTCGCAACTAACTGAAATTTAAAATGAAGTAAAATTACTAACTGGAAATAAAAACTAAAACTTTAAATAAATTTAACTAGTCTTAAAAATTTTTTTTTTAAAAAGCAGCCAGTTCAAAATATTAATAAAAACTACAATAGTATAAAAGTAAAATAACACCGCTTTTAACATGTTCTCTTTCTCAGGTGGTAAAGACGGTTTGGTGGGATTTCCAGATTTCATCTATAAGCATATCGTCCCAGCATGCTTCATGGCCCCTCTTAAGCCAACCTTTGACCTTTCAGATGCCCAGACTGTTTTGGTACGTCAGTCAAGTCTTTTATAGACCGCTTCTATGTCTGATGGTGATTTGTAATGTTTTGCTGTTCTGCTACAGACACTGTCCGAGTGCACGCTGACTCTGCACATGATTCATCTCAAAAGAGTGAGTCTGAAATCACCTCAACTGTGATTGCTCTTATTTAGACCCGAAACCAGTTACATTCACCTTAGGGATGAGGAATAGTCAGTGAATCTAACTGCAGGCTGTTTTAATGCTGTTTGCACAGGGGCTGGAGTGTATTCGGTTTCTTCAGGAGTATCTGCCTTCTCTGCAGGTCTCGCCTGAAATCACGCAGGTAACAGACACACACCTGCTTCCATCAGGATCAGTGACATGCTTCAAGCATTTCTTTTGATCACAGACTAATGTCACACACAAACTCAAAGGTCTTCACTACAACCTGTCAAAATAAAAGTTCTGTTTAACTTCAGGAAATTGTGACATGTTACTAATGTAAAGTAGAATGTTCTTGTCAAAGTAATCATGATGATAATAGAGTTAGCTTCATTTTTAAGGAATATCACAATTTTACTTATTTACATTTTAACAGTAAACCTGTTGTGCAGCACTTTGTTTGCCAAAAAATAAAAGGAATTCTATTTTAATTCGATAGTTAAAAAGATTAAATTATGCCTTCATTTGATTGCCGCTATTTTTGATAATACATTTTTATTAAAGCTCATCAAAAAAAGAAAACAAAAATTTTAAGTAAAATAAAACTGATGGCCCTAAAAATTTTATTTTTGCTAAAAGTTTAATATTTTAAATTATGAACGTTTAATTTATCCATTAAAAAGGAATCCAGAACAATAAAAAAAAAAATTTGATTAGAAAAATGTAATTAAAATCAAAAATTTGGGGAGAATTAAAATTTTATAGGACCCTATATAGGCCATTTTTTGCACGTACTCCTTAAGAGTGTGAAAGACAATTTAATAGCTTTACAGATTTAAACATCATTTCAACTACGTTTTAACAATCTTTGCTACTGTCATAAGTTATGGCAACAATATGTACTTGATCATATTAGTCCTACAAGCTAAATCTTCTAGATAGAAGCTGTGGAAGTACAGACGCATCCAGACTGCAGTATTGTATGATGATGGCCATTTTTATTTTATTTATTTTTTTAGTTATTCTGATTGATATCAGCTGCGTTTCTCCTCAGGAGCTGTGTCAAGTGCTTCAGCAGCCGGATGTTAAGGTTCTGAAAAACTACATGAAGGTATTTCAGGAGCTCTATGATTGAAATGCTAATTCATGTTGTCTTTGTATGTATGTGTGTGTATATATATTAGGGCTGTCAATCAATAAAAAAAATGTAATCTAATTAATCACATCCCTTTCCTGTGATTAATCGCACACTTCATGAAATTAAGCATAGACCATTTATCTTGTTTCAAATGTTTTTGTCATCATTTGCTATATCCAACAAAGTAAACCAAAAGATTGAAGGGTGATTCTCAAAAATCTATCTTTTCTGCAAGCTTTTTTCAAGATAAATGTAGATGTCTTTCCAAAAAAGGACACTTAGAAACTCCAAAAGGACACCAAATAACCAAATGATATAAGGAGCCCATATAAGCACATGTGAAAGAAAAAAAAAATCAGAATTTTATAGTATGTGTACAGTGCAACAGCAAAGAGCTTTTTTAAATTTTCGAGAAGCCAAGTTGCGATACCGAACCAGGACCACATGGAGATGCCAAAAAAAACCTAAACCAATCGTCTGCTGACTGCATATATCTACTACAGTACACGGCTCCATTCAGAATTACTAAACACAGCAACATACACATGACAAATCAAAACATTATCGTGAATGTACGGAAATGTCTGTGCCTATGCATAAATACAATGTGCGATCAGTGCATTAATACACGCATTATTATAACGGACTCACGCGTGCTTACTGTACGACTCCTGTATGCCACCGCAATCGTCTTTACCTTGATTGCAGTCTTCATCCATCAAAACTTGACTAGCAAGACTGGTTCTCCAGTCGCATCTCATCTGGCCATACAGCGGTGGGATGTGTTGACAATCCGTTCAGTCTGTACTTCACACAGCGCGTGTGACGCGTGAGGGCTCGTGCCCTTCAGAGACAATCACAGAATTATGACCGAGCTCGTGTTTAAAAGCGAAACACTAGAAGGAATAATTCACTTAAAACGCGACGCGAGTCTCTGTTCTCTCTGCAATCTCTGATGTAATCAGCCTGGTTTCCTTTATATTAGCGCTGTTTTGGACGGATCGTTTGAATGCATTCGCTTACGGGAAAGTTTTCAGTCCAATGATCCCAGAGTTTAGTGGCTTTAAATGATCTAATCGCAAGCAGAGAAGCAAAATTGGGTTAAAGGGTTAGAATAGAAATTGTGCTTTAGTAATTTTGCATTAATTGCGTAAAATTATTTTAACGCGTTAAGGATTGTAAAATTAATTGCATGCGTTAACGATGACAGCCCTAATAAATATATAGATATATAGAGAAAGAGAAAGAGAGTTAGATTTTATGTGGCCATTTTAACCCTTTTTTTTTTCCCTGTGCATGCAGGTTTTCTTCCAGCAGGCCAAACTTTAAAACTGGAACTGTCAAGCGGAGCGTTTTGGGAGCTCAGCAGTCAACGCCACTTACAGACCACCATAACGACAGAACTTAGCGTAGAAGCTACTTTTGCACTTAAAGAAGCATAACACACCCTTCCTGTCTGCGGGGACACGGACCCCCAACAGGAGTCACGTGGGGATTGGCGGTCACGTGACGTGACCACACCCCCACACCGACCTTGGCCCAATCAGAGTTGTGCTCTCCATGGAGGTTTAGCCGCCTGGGCTGGAGGCGACGTCTGCGATTGGACGAGACGCCATACTGTAGGTGGGGTTTGTGAGGGTGGGCGGGGCTTCAGTCCTGGACACAATTTCAAGGGAAAATGCATTTCCACTTGAAATACAACAGTTTTGGTTATTGTTTGGAAGTATGACTTAAGTGTTACAGAAAATTCTGGAATGAATTTAATGAAATGTTTTTGGGGTTTTTTGTGCGGAAGCTTAAGAAGGGCCGGATTAAGAAGATTTAATTGCTACTTTTTCTTTTTTTTTAACATGCATAGGTTTTAGTTTGACGTGATGGGGTTAATAAATGGAAGTGCTCTTGATGTTGGGCTTTTTGGATCTAAAATGTCTTTTTTTTTTTTTTAAATCAGCAATCCCTTCAAGTTTTCCATATAATACGGCATTCCCATCAAAGCTGTTCTGTAACTCATATAGTTTCCGAACACTAAACATTTGTCCGCTCCATCACAGTCTCAGATTCGCTGTCGTTTAATGCCTTTAAAGCCCACTTGAAATATGCAATGTTACGAACTGTGAAAATACTACGAGGTGGTTTGATCCTTGGATCTGCAGTGGGAATGTTTTGGTTAAGTTACGCTGCTAGCAATTCTTGTTTGGAAATGTACTTTGTGTAAAAAAAAAAAAGAAAATCTCTGATTTGTAGAAATGACCTGTTACGGCTGACAAAATGACAATCTGTGTTGGATTTTTAGAGACGCTGCACGTGTCTTAACCCTTTCAGCTCTGGATTCCACGTCAGACAGAAACGCTCGGCAAAGGTTTGGACCTAAACGTTTCTTGGGTCTCAACATCACGTTGGCTTTAATGGTTAAAAATCATGATAGGGAAAAAAAAAGTTTGTAACTTTGAATATGAGATTGACTGTTAAAGATTGTTTCTTTGTCATTACCCATAAGCCTTTGCTTCAGACTTCCTGTGATTTGCCTAACAGACCTGTTACTCAAATGCTCCAGTCCTGCTCGTCAGACCCACTGTGTTAATGCCAAAAAAAAGAGGAGAGGGACACGAAAGGTAGACTGTGCAAACTTGTTTTATTTTTGATATGCTGGGAAAGGCCCTCTCACACTCTCTTTTGTCATGACCAATAAAGTATTTACTAATCTCCGCCAGATTTCCAGCTGGAGGTTTATTGAAGCGGCTGCATTCACGTAATCATTCAAACAGATTCAGGAGAACGAGGTGCTGATGCAACGGTTTTATTCCACATTAGTAGCTCTGTGTAAACATGTTCACCCTTAAACCCGAAATGAAACAAATAATGCTGGAGCCACTTCACCTTCACAAGTGCTAAATATTTGAGCTGCAGAGTCTTGCGTGCAGCATCGTGATGTTTCAGCCTTTAATCACAGCGATGGGTCTGAGCTTGATGGCCTTCTTACTGATGCCGGCGTCGTGGCACGTGTTCACTACATCCGTGACGTTCTTGTAGGATTCAGGAGCCTGATGTGCAAGATACAATGCACGTTTAAAAAAGTAACTAACATATAACAGCATAACATTTTTTCAGTGCATTTTATTGTGATTTATATTTAAAGATAAAAATTTTCAGCTTTTTTGGAAACTTAATTGGAATTGTTTAAAATTTAATTTGCAAACAGATGGTGAATAATTTGACCATTTACATCACGAAGCAACAAAGAAAGCATAATTATTAAATGCATTTTATTGGAGGATGATTATTTAAAAACAATGTAAAAATAAA